GCAAAGCAGAGATCTATAACAGATTATAAAAGGCGGGATTTTACCCATTCCAATGGGATGGGATTTACCCAGCTAACTTAATTTACATCAGAGTAAAAAGGCCCATGACAATCTGATGAACTGATATCACTGACTGTTTAAATCCCATTGGAATGGGTGAAAAACCCACAGCAACCCCCGGTTAAATCTCAGTCTGGTTTACATGAACTGATTTCCATGGCATTTTCACTGATTATACACAAAAGTATGATTAATATGCTCCATGAAGATGAAATACTCATGTTAAGTGGTTTTTGAGAAATTAATGGATATCCGCTTGCACAGGTACACCCTGTATCTATATTTGATTACAGTTCTGACGAAAATTGCCTTATTATGTAGTTTTTGCTGGAAATGTGTCAAGTGAGAGACGTCTGATACTGAGATACGAACAGTGGTTTAGGACTGGGGGAGAATTTAGTAATTTTTTTGAAGAAAAAAATGGCTAAATTTTTTTTATTTGTTCGTAAAAATTGTCAAAGACGAAGAAGATATTACTATACCTTTATACCGATGACAATGGATGTAATTTTCTTGTCCGTCATTTCATGATGTGATGCATTGATGCACCAATTCAATAATGGTTGATGATTGATTAAGTCCACGTGTAAATTAAACACAGACAACACTTACGACTTGTTTAATATTTTGCTGTGCGTGACCATGCGTCTTTCAATTATAAAATGCCCAAGTTGCATGACACCGACAGACGCCAAGTGCAGCTTTTCCAGTGGGTTCAAAGCATCAATTTTCCCGAGCGATTGTTTGCATAGGCTAAATATCTAAGGTTTGTTGTTTCTTTTGTACTGCCGGTGAAATGTGAATTCCACATGGCGTCATTAAAAAAAACCCATGCATGACATGACCGCGCTCAGACTATAACGAGAACCTTTAAATTAGACTCTGCAGTAAGAGGACTTAGACTGTTTTGCAGTTTTATGACGAGTCCCGAAGGTATGATTCGAAATTTATTGGTGTCCTGTAACGCTTGTACCTGCTAGCACTCGCTGAATTGCTTGCCCTCAGTAAGGCATTCGCCCTTAATGTTATTAAATTGAAACCACGTTAGTTATTGGTAAAGACGTCTTTCCATTGCTAAATGCCCGTGTTGCTTAGTGCTTAAAGACGCCTAATATAAAGGCCGGGTCATACCTCACACGTACCAATGGAAAGCAAGGGCTAATATCATAATGAAACTTAATCGTTGTTGGCGTCATGAAATTCGCTTCGCTTTCGGCCTCGCCATCGCGTGAATTTTGAACAGTAGTGTAAAATTATGTTGTTTTGGTATAGGCCTCCCACTCTTGCCTACATGTGAAGATAAGGACAGTTACATGTCAAGGCTAGGTCGCATGTGGGGGTTATAGGCATGGGCGTCGCCAGGATTTTTTTCTAGAGGGGGGAAAAAAAGTTTTGCCAAAAAATGCTTGTATTTCTCAACACATTCTCGATTTATCAGTTTTAGAGGGGGAAAGGGACATTTTGCCCCCCCCCCCCCAACTCATTAAATTTACACCACTTTGTCTTCGTCTTTTTTTTTCTTCCTTTTTTTTGTTGCTTTTCCAGGGGGGGGGGGGAGGGGGGCCAAGACATTTGCCCCCCCCCCTCGCGACGCCCATGGTTATAGGTCCACATAAGGCATAAGAAACCTGGTTTAATAGGAGTCCATTTTGACACTGGCCTGAAAGGTGCAGGCCAGTATATAGGCCCCAAATAGCATACGCGGGCCAAATCACGATTTGTATGTCCTCAATATTTTTTGCTATAAGAGCATTTTTTTTCCCCTTAAACTTGAGGATTGATAAAAAATGTAATGCTAGAAACCGTGATTACGACTGCAACATTGTATTTATGTGCAATTTGGATGAAATAGTCCCAAAAGTTGCTCTATTTTGCATTGGAGCGTGGGCATCATTTTTCAAAATGGCGATGGGCTTCAGGACTATACTTTTAGGGGTGATTGTCTTTGGAAATGCCATCAGATTACCTGGAAAATATCGAACAAAAGAAGAAAGGTGATGAAATAAGCTTTAATTTGATGGGTTGTCTCAAACACCTTGGAGAGTTGTGAGTATTTTTCCTGATCTTGAGAAGTGGCGCTTTTTATTATCGGGTTATGGCAGTTTGTTTGCTGGTCTGCAACAAGGGCGGATCCAGAGCACAATTTTTTTGGGGGGCCCAAAAAAATTTGGTCCCCCAAAAAAGTGGGTAAAAAAAAAATTACGACGTAGGGTTCGGGGCCCGCTTAAGGGCCCCGAATTTTTTTTGGATTCTAGATGCTCTGTGGTGCGATCTGAGGCAATTTCTGACCACTTTAACCAATGTTTTTTTGAGGAAAAGATGGTGGTGTACCCATTGCCTGCCTTTATTGCGATGTCACATAAAAAAATAAAATAAATTGGTTTCGTTTTTTTTGGGGGGGGGGGGGCATGGCCCCCTTTGGCCCCCTGGATCCGCCCTTGGTCTGCAACCTTAAGCGAGGTCTCCGTCGTTGCGTGCTGTTGTTGAAGCATAATCATATGGGATCATATGTCTTGTTTTGCAATTATCAAATTTATTAAGACTATAGCCATTAACGGTAAAAGACATCATTGGCAAAAAACCCCAGTATTTCAGAAAACAACAATGAAATAAATCCGAATCATGTTATTAAAAAATTGTCGAAAATTCAGTCCAGTAGATATACTAATTGACAGAACTGTAAAAATGCATCGTCATTTTTTTCGACGCAAAGCAATTGAAGGTGTCCGCCGAGAGCCCTCCTTTAATGGTATGTCAGTGGCGGTTCTACGGGACGGGGGGCTAGGGCTGGCTTTAGCCCCCCCCCCCAAAAAAAAAACCCCAATTGTCTAGCCCCCCCCCCATAAAAAAATATTGGAACTAGCAAAATGTAAGAAGGTGACGTACATGCGAGCGGTCTCCCCCTAAATAAATAGTCGTGAGAAGGGTGCATTTGTACACTTTTATAGTGTGCCTGATGTAGGATTTTATCAGCACTCCCCATTGAAAATATGGCACGAGCACCCCTCACCTATTGATTTTCGGAGGCCTAAGTGTCCGCAGAAAATAACCTGTCTACATTTCAGCACGCCTCCCTGCATTTTTTTTTTGGATCCACCATGCTAGCCCCCCCCCCCCCCGAAAAGTATTGGCTCTAGAACCGCCCCTGATGTATGTCACTCGGGGAAAAAACTACTCTCATTCACAGATATGAAACCGATTCGGTCAATTTGGGGCAGTGTGTGTGGGAAAAAAATGCATTGTTTTCTGGTTTAGTTCAAACCATCGCGAGGAAATCATGGTAAATTCGGGTCGCCTCTTTTCTTGAAAATGACTTGCGTACTAGGCGTAACGATTTCACAGGATGCGTAATTCTATTGCTTACTTGAGCTGCTTATGTGCTGGTGGGTGTGTGTTTATATTGGGGGGGGGGGGCAGCAGTAGATCGCACCCCCTTCCCCCGTTCAGTCGCTGACTAATATTATGATACAAGTGAAAATTATAAATGGAATGCTAAAGTTCATAGTTATTCTCTAATTACCTTAGAATGCAGTAGAAAGCGCCGTAGATTTCAAAATATTCCCGGGGGCAAGCCCCGAGACCATAAAGCAACCCCAACCTCAACCCCTGCCTTTCATATATGACCCCAACTCCCCACCCCCACCCAGTTTCCCGAAAGCTAGATCGCCCCTTGAAAGAGGGGCAACATACCCCTGGCACACTTGATATCCCCGTTATGCAATAACGACAAATTCAATGTGGAAGCGTATACAACAAAACATTTACCAGGAAATTAAAGCGCCATCTCTTCACAGCCACTTAACTTCCATAATTTGTTTCACGGACTGAATTCTTAAGATGTTATTATTCCTACAAGAGATTGAAACCCTGTCAGCGAAACGTCAACCTGACCATTGACACTAAATAAATCACCGTCGTTATTGGCTTACTGACCGTATCTCTTTAAGTGCAATAAAGGTAGCATTTCGAATGAGACAAATGTCAAGGGATTGATGCTGTGAACGAAAAAATCGTGGCCTGGCAACACGATCTATCTTTAAGACAGAAACTGCTCCAATTCTGTCCGTGCCGGGACTTCATTCTGCGTGGCTTTCAACCTTTCAAGTACCGCGGAAACGGATATCCACTTTGACTGGCATCGGCAAGAAACGTACGCCAACCAGGGGCGGATCCAGGAATTTTCGTAGGGGGGGGGGGTCATTAGCCCAAAAATCTGAAAACGTGCACATGTTTTTTTCTCCGGACACTTGGCCTCCGTAAAATTAAAAAACTAGGGGGGGGGGGGGGGGCTTGTACCAATTTCAATAGGGGGCGCTGTTCAAATTCGACGATTATTAACACTCATTACAGAAGGGTGTACCGTATTTTGAACAGGCGGACATTAGACCAGTATAATTTTTTTGGGTTGTCACAGCAGGGAAGGGGGGGGGGGGGGTTTCGACTTATTTTTCAGGAATTTGTATGAGAATTTTGTTTTTTTTGACAGAGCTGGGGGGGGGGTTTTGACCCCCAAACCCCCCCCCCTCTGGATCCGCGCCTGCCAACACTAATTTAATAAATATTGTCTGATTATTTTGAAGGTAAATAACGGATGTATTCTGTACAGAAAATGTACATCGCTCACAAGGACATGAATCTGGAGTGAAAAGGCTCAAGGTTTGATTGTCAATTGCTTTTTAGAAGCTGGTTCATGTGCGGGTACCTCTTTGTATGCATACATGTAGGAGTTGCAATGGCGGGGTTGTTGTTGTACATCTACAAATCCTAATTGGCTGAGCACGATTTGCATTGTACGTGCCAGATATGAATTCACATCACAGGCAACTTCCTACGAGCAAGCCGCCTGCGCTTGTAATCAGTTATCAATTAGGTTCGGGACTAACTCGCCGTCGGCAACGGCAACCGGTGAGCACGCTCGGCCAAGATCATTTCTAGATGCGATGGCAACCACGGATGCACCTACCACTCTGGCCCCCGATGAGTGTGTCCCATCAGAACACTCATTCCACCGTGCCCTCAGAGCCACCTATATCGGCCTCGACTTCTTACTAACTCTCCTGGGCAACGTGTTGACTATTGTGGTCACGAGGAAGGTGGAAGAGTTTTCGGACAGCACGAAGGTGATCATCACTTCTCTTGCTGTAGCTGACCTGGGTGTGGCATTCGTCGCTGCCACGTCGTTACCTGTCGAGATATTAGGAAAGTGGATTTTCCCGGAGTGGGTATGTGCAGCTTCGTTCATAACTTTCTACATTTTTACCACTGTTTCGGTAATGATGGTTATCGTGATGACTTTTGATCGATTAGTGGCCATCGTAAGACCGCTCCGTTATGCGTTAATTTTACCAAAGCATAGGAGCGTGATTGCTGTAGTGATAGTATGGTTAGCGTGTACCGGGGGCGGCATGTATACCACTTTTACCAACAACATTGTTTACAACAGATGTTCTGCAGTTTGCATGACGACGGGGAGGAACATCGTCGCGAGCATCGTGTCTGTCTTGCTATTTTACGTAATACCTCTTGCTCTCATCATGATGATGAACGTCAAAATTCTTCTGATCGCTCGGCAGCACGCAAGACACATCGGACGGCCTGCCGTTACCATCACGTCAACCGATGACGCCGGTCAACCAACAATTTTGCGACGACCACGCAGTGTCAAAGGCAAAGCTGTCGGTGTCATTTCACTGGTGACTGTCGCATTTGCCGTCAGCTGGTCGGTTTACCAGGCGAAACTCCTGCACGGGTCAGTGTCCGGCAGCAGCGATGCTTTTGATGAGTGGCTGGAATTTTCCGCGATTTGGCTGGGACTGACCAACAGTTGGTGGAATGTCATCATCTACTCGGTCATGAACCGAAGTTTTCGAAGGCACACCCGGTCTGTCTTATTTGGCTGTTGCCCGAGGTGTCCACGTCCGTCTGAAATCATCCCAATTGAGACCGTTTCGGTTAACCTTAGATCCAACCCTCCAGGATAAACGAGAACATAAGGCCTGCAATGCTGATGAAAATGGTTGAAGTCTACCTTTTCCCGCCAGCACTTCATTCACATAATTGCGAAAGTTGTAAATAACACCAGTGAAAGATTTCCACCTGTAGATTACCGCGAGGCCGTGCAACCGTCGATCAACAACGCTACTTGACTTTACGAGGGTGGGCATGTTCCGTTTGATCTCCGACAGAGTTCACATTGTCGCCGCTTAAGATCGCCGATATGTCAAACTAAGGCAACTTACACATCTGAGCAACATTGCCAAATACCCCTTGCAACGTTCTTGACTATTTCTATTGTCGGTGCCATTTTGGTACCTCGAGTCCTCGACCATGCCTCCGAAACGACAAGCTAGTATATTTGCTATGTACATAAAGATCCCATGTGCAATTCGTTGATGTCAGTAAGAGTGAGGGTGCGTAGACGCGCGAAAAGAGGTGCGGAATGGTCCCGAGGATGTGATAAAGTGCAAATGAGAATGACCCTTTTTTGTGTGACAAACAAAGCGTTCAATTTGTTATAGTACGCGCCCAAACAATATAATAATTGAAATACGGGAGAATAAGAGAGTTTTAAAGTAAGATCAGAGAGAAACCTGGAAGAAAGAAACGGAGATTAGAAAGGACGCCGGTGTTTCGGGAGATGGTTTAGGGATGTAAGAAATGTGTTCGGTACAAGAGAGGATTTGATCGATAACACCCAGAAATTTGGCAGAAGAGACCCTGTTGATAGGGATTTTGTCAATTACAAGTTGAAGCGAGTAGATGTCTTGTGGACGTGCCGACTTGGCTTTCAACCACGAAGAAATTAAGAGGAGTTCGGAGTTGACAGTGTCTATATCTAAGAAGTAACATCAGTGCTAGAGTAAAAAAAAATGGTTGTTTATCATCAGCGAAAATAGTGAAATTAAGAAGAGAAGAATTGTGAAGATCATTGATGTAAAGCACAAAAATTAAGAAGTGGCCCACGGATAGAACCTTGGGGGATACCATGCTGGATGATCAGAAGATTAGAGTCACCGTTTATTATTGATACTGGTGTCTGTCAGAATTAGAAAGGTAATCCGCAAACCATTGGAGGGCATACCACTGATATCATAGTAGTTGAGTTTAGAAAGAAGAATAGAATGATCGAGAGTGTCGACAGTTTTGGAGAGATCGATAAAAACACAAATAGCACATATTTCGTTGCAGAGCGCATTGATAATATTGTCGACAAGTTCAATGAGGGCCATGTCCGTAGAGTGTTAAGATCTAAAGCCGTATTGCTAATCGAAAATAATGTGATGGTGAGAGATGAACTGAGAGAGGGATGTAGACAAACCGTTCTAATTTTTTGGAAAGACAAGGGAGGATAGAAATAGGCTGATAGAAATATTGCTGGTGAAATCGAAGCGCACAAGATCTTTTAGGTGCGAGTGTTTTTCTTTTTCGCTTTTAGAGTCAATCTATTGAAACTAATCTGAGTGTTAAATTTAGATGTGATATAGATTATTACCGCCGCAATTAAGGAGTCTATGTTTTCATCGCAGTTGGTTAGTTTGTTGGTTGGTTGCTGTTAACAAGATGACTCAAAAAGTAATGGACAGATTTGCATGAAAAAAATAGGAGTGATCCTTGGTACAAGTAAAATTTGATTAGATTTTGGAAGTGATCCGGATCTTGGTCTGGATCCAGGATTTAAAAAAAGTATTTTTCACCATTTATGTGAGTATTTGGCGTGGAAGTGTTTAGCCTTGGCGGAGGTTTGCGCTCACTGAGTGATTTCTAGTTGGAGTAGGTTTTTGCTATGTTTCTTTTACTGCGCGGTAAGTTGATCTGAGTGATGTTCCTGTTTCATAGCCTAATCATCGTCTCGATTTGAATAATTTCTTTTCATCATTACTCTGTTATCTGTGTCTACGCCTGTCTCTTGAGTCACATGAAATCAAGGCAGGATTTGTTATTTTGTTTTGCTCGTGATTGTGTCTACAGATGTTGTGAATTTTTCCTTATTCTTTCTATTTGTTATTATTTGATCATTTAAATTTAAAGTTAACAAGGGTTTGCGGAAACATAGGTAGGGTCAACGTTATAACATGAAATCAAAATAATTTGCTTGTTTCCTTCACATAGGCAAAAACGAATAAAAAAGCACATACCACAGAATCCATTTGAATGTGGAAAATATTTACCAATTGATTACATTGAACCTCTATGCCCTTCGACGAATTTGAATTCACGAGACGACTATTTGAATTTGAATCAACTTATTGATCGAAAGACTGCTCAAAATAACGAAATTCGAACGACCCTTCCGATGTTCGAAAGCTCAAATATAAAGGAGCATTCGTTTTAAAATTAACTTGAATGGGCCTCGTGTCAAATTGAACAATTTTTAGTAATGAAATTGGCCAGGAAAACCTTTCCGGCTTGCCAAACTCTTTAACCAATGTTTCCTTTATTATATATGGTTGCCAATGATTCTAATTTATTTTATTCTCATAGCATGTAATATTATACTCTTTATAACACTGTGAATTAGAGCATCTTCATATTTCCAACTGGGTCAAAGCCAATAAATTAGCTCTTAATATTAATAAAAACCTATTTTATGTTATTCAGTAATCCAAAGATCAACAATCCATATACATGTATTTCTTACGGTATTCTTGACTGGGGTAAATCGAATGCTTATTTATTGAATAGAATTCTCAACTCGCAAAAGAAGGCTCACAGAATTATCAACGGAGTTTGTTTTCGTAGTCCCTCTGATCCATGGTTTTACAATTATATTCAAGCTCGACTGAAGTGATTTTTTTTTTTAAGAGTATTTCCATCTAAAATGAGTGGTTTTCACTCTAAACCGACTAGTCCTTAGTTTCACTCTTTGGACTGTCGAGAGCGCACGTAATGCATCAGTTCATAGATAATGCATTACCCGGCGAAGTATTTTTTTAAAATATTCATTTTAAACACTCAGATTCATTCTTCTCATACCAGCTGATATTCTAAAGATTTTCATAATTCCCTTTATGTAAGCCTTCCTAAATCTTTCAATATTGTGTGTCATTTCAGGGTCTAAAGCTCAGGACTGGAATTCTTTAAGTAATAATTTCAAATAAATTAACAGCTTTGTGACGTCTTCAAGAAAAAAACACCTTAAACTTTGACTTCTAGGAAATATATTCTCAAAATGGATCCATGCCCTTTTTATTTATTCATTTTGTAAACCTTTGTAATCAACCCTTTTGACAGCTTTAATTGTCGAGTTTGTGCCATGTTCCTTAATCAACTTAATGTGTATATACGCTAGTTGTCATTTTTTTGTAAGAGTAATTTCGATGTGTTTGGGAGACCTCCTTCACTTATTGTTATATGAGAGTTCGGTAATTGTTGTTACTTTATGAACTGAATAAGTGGAAAATAAAATGAATTGAACTGAAATGATCAGTGCTCCCATAGAGAACCTATCAGACAACTTGCATGTATCTATACTGACCGCCTGATTTTAAGCGCGGATGTCTAAATTTTCCCTCGACCACTGAATATTCTGGGTAATGTTGGGTGGTTGCCCGAATTTGAGTCCATGCCCTGGCACTAGGTAAACGGTTCCACACTTAGATGGCGATTTCTTGTCAACATGGGGTGGGGGCCCCGGGGGGGGGGGGGGGGGGGGAACACGGGGGACCAGGCTTGAAGTACGAAACTGAGGGTAGACAGGCAGTGCAGTCGCTGTGTGGACATGTTAACAAAAGATGTCCTCACACTGCAGGTAATGAAGACGTTGTCTGGACTTGCCGACGTCCACACAATGTTCCCCGTCTGTGAAAAACAGTTTTAGAGGCAATTTTGGGTTAGGGTTATGCGTCGCAAAATGAAGAGGAACAATCAAGCCTTCGGGAAATCACGATCAAAACTTTGGGTTGAAAGAGTGTTCACCGTGCGATTACTATGAGTTATTTTCACCGATTTTTCTTTAAATGTTTGGGTGCATATGCTATGGTGTAAATCTAGGACACACATGTGAAACATCTTTGAGAGAGGTCAGGAGTCAAATCGAGGACGTCCGGTTTGAAAACGTGCACAAATCCAATGGGAGCTGTTGCCAAAAGGATGAACAAAAGAGGAACAATAGGAAATCCTCGCTTTACACCATAACAAACATCTCTGTGTGTGTTGGGAGGGGGGGGGGGGGCGCCATTCAAAGATAAATGTACTCACGGATAATGTATATGCATTCACAGATGCATGGTTCATATATTCTCAGATAATGTACACACATAATATGCGCATTCATGCCCATTGTGCTATTTGAGTGAAAAGGACGGTGAACAATATAGCCGCGTACAGCTAAAACACTATTTGGGGAAACTGCAGTGCACGATTATGTGTACATGTGGTTAAAATCTATATGCACTGGGTCAAATACTTTGGGGGGGGGGGGGGGGATCATGCCATTGGTGTTCCCCACCCAACAAAATATTGGAGAGGTGGGGGGGGGGAATTCCCCCACTCCCCCAGGATCGCCGCTCATGGTTCTACATAAAAATGATGTGGAAAACAAACGTTGTATATGTCTCACCTTATCGTCTAAAATCATCGGTGATAGACCTTTATCAGGGTACGGTACGCCATCTTCAAAACCAAAGCGAGGACACAAACAAACATGGCGGCGTCACTAGTTTGTGCGGTGAATGAGTGATTCTCATAAGTTACAGCAGTGTAAGACCGCAATCTGGACTGTCTCACAACAGGTACGTGCTCCACATTACACCCCAATGTCTTCACCTCACTCGTTTCTAAGCAAAACTTCCCCACAGCATACCAATATTGTAATTTCATCCACGTGCAGGGCAGAATGTACTCCTACCCAGTGGCGGTTCTACGGGGTGCGGGGGCTTTAGCCTCCCAAAAATTCCATAAAAAAACCTTCTCCCTAGTTGTGAGAAGGGTGCATTACACTTTTAGTTAAAATATTGTGCGCATCGGATTGTGGGATTTTATCAGCGCTCCCTATTGAAAAAAGGGTACGAGCGCCCCCCCCCCCCCCTATTGATTTTCGGAGGCCCAAGTGTCCGGAGGAAATAACCGGTCTACATTTCAGCACGCCTCCCTGAAAACAATTCTGGATCCACCCTGCTAGCCCCCCCCCTCCAATTGGCTCTAGAACCGTGCCTGTTCCTATCGATCGTCCAGACTGACCATTAGGGCCTACGTCAGTCCACCTTTGTTCCGATTATGTCACGTAAGATATGTTTTCCTATGACATCATATCCTATTTCCCCCCAAAGATGCCCCTATGAAACTGTATAAAAAGTTGTGTCCCAATTTTCCAACTTTCGTTGAGTTCTCCTCCCTGGAAACCAGATGTGTATAGCCTAGCAGTAAGCTATAATGCTCTGTAAATTAAGCCAGTCCAGTCCTTCGTCTCTACTCCGGTATCGCCAGACATAAGCTGTCTCAGCCGTACGTTCTTAGGTTATCTTTCTACTCCCTCTTTGCACGCTCCGCCATAAGCATGCAGAACCTCGATCTGGCACCTTTACACTGAATATAGCCGGTTCAGTGATTCCCGGGTACACACGGGTATCGCTGAAACCCCGACACGGGAATCACTGAAGTGGCTACATGTATATCTAATAATTGTGTAAAGTTGCCCGATCGAGGCTCTGCATGCTTATGGCGGAAGCGTGAAAAGAGCGAATTTAGACGAGAACCCGGTAGAATTGAGTTTATGAGAATAACAGTGTTTCCAGTTCATTTAGCTGAACTCACAATGGTGTGTATCCTTCATTTCTTCCTGTTCAACCTGCTCATCGGCCACAGCTCTATAAATTCGGTCGACGTGCAAGACTAAATTTTCATATGGTAGGCCTGCCCCTGAGCAGGCTTGACACTCCTACTGATAGCTCAAATTGCCCGAAACATCAATCGATATTCTAGGCAGGTCACGTCCCACTGTTTTTGAAGGATCTTAAATATAAACCTACAAAACGAGTGTCCAAACTGAATTTTACGATTGAAAAATGACAATTGCATGTGGAATAGCAAATATATCTTGAACAAATCACCTTTTATTTGCCTCACGCAGAGAAACGACGGAGGGGCTAGCTTCATTGTATCACAATTAGCTTTCGGGAAATAAAAATACTTTACCTCAACACAACTGACTTTCAGATCAATCTTTACAACCAAACTCTACGATATGAATATACTAATTCGATTAAGGATAAACTCAAACCCGCATTTCCCCTAAATTATAGGGCCGACCAATTTATCACGTAGTAGGTCCATTTCCACAACGTAAGGCTTTCTTTTAAAAAGGCGGTGGGGCCAATGCAGAATATTAATTTTCAGAATGCACTTTCTCCATGTATAAACTAATATTGGTGTATTGAAAAAGAGTGACCTGCTACAATTTAAAACTACACACTACCGTAATTTAGTTCAGTTGATTATAAGCACTGCCGTAATGAAATTAACTTGATTAAGTTAACAAAATTAAGGACACCAGTACAATGTCCTCCTTGGAATAGCTTCGAACAAAGAGGCGTCCGCCTGAACTTTTTTTTTGCCGATTTCACAACTTGATTATCGTGAAGCAACCACAAACGGAATTACATGTACGTGACTCTCCTTTAGCTCAGATAATAATGCGTATGGTTTGTGTTTGATTTCTGTAGGTGCGCGTTGTCTTAACGTTCTGTTTCTTTTTAAGACCAATTTTACGGTAACTCACCTTTTGAAAAGGAAGTGTCATTTTCACGAGGGCCGTGTCACACAGAGCAATTGACAACTTTTCACAGGCAGAAACTTACAATTTTCTGTACGAAATTGTCTTGGACAAATATCAATGAGATAAACAAGTTTGAATCCGTGCCTCCAAAAATACTATTGTTATACAGCGATTGTTACAGTACACGAGGAAGCACGTTTTAGCCTCCGGATCTTAAATAAAGGATTGAAAGATAGGATGGACGATTTCTTTATACATGTATATAGATTAATAGAAGTCATGAAATTGCAATTTATTATACACTTAACATACAGCCACCACGTATTTCGTGGATGATCATGAAGGTAGTACATGCAATTTTATCAAACTTGTAACGCCTAGTTTCCATATCGAGGTAAGAAACGCAGTTAGCAACGCAAACAATACACAAACTCAACGCAGACATCTGGAAACACTTCATTCGCAAGTCTGCGCAGTCTAGCTTACTAACGTCATAATATGGATAATAATGCTCGTTATAGACCAACCACAAGACTCCAAAAGACTTCGCCCATAAGGCATGGCACAGGGCTACAAACTCTACCCAAAGTTTTCAGAAAAAGAAAAGGAATTCGAGTTTTCGATTCACCTCGTTTAACCGACACGAAAGTTGATCACATCTACATGCAATGACGTCACTGTCTTCACAAGCAACCACTGCGTGCTGTTCCAACCTTTGCAAAAAGTCTTCCGGCAGAAAATCTTTAAGATAAAGTCACACTACCTAACCTCCCTTCATCTTTGGAATCCCTCCATTCTCCTGTCGAGGGGCAGAGCCTACTGTGCGAAACGTTGAGTTTCCCGGTTCTTTTCATAACCTCACAAACTCATACAAGAGATTTGTCACATGGTGCTATCGTAGATCTTTATTATTATTGCTTCCTTCACCGCGCAAACCTTCAAATCCTAACTTCAACAATGAACTTGTGCTAGCGCCATGGACTCCTGAACGTGGGCTCGGTTCATCATAGGATATCCAGCGCCAAGGATCAGACTGGTCCCGCTGCAGAGGGAGCGGAAAATATTAATTGAACATGGATGGTACAATGTTCAGGCCTGATTGAAAGTATGGCTTTTTTCTCTACGGTTGAATGCTGTATGTAGAAGCACGTTCATGTGTATGTATCTTTTGATCTATGTTTACCTAAGCAATCAGTATACTTTTTGTCTATATCAACTACACGCACGTTCCGACATACCTTCCGATAGTCATTTATTTACCCATCCTTCTTCGCAAATGTACTAAGCTCGTGTGGACCCACTTTGCGCGAGTGCGGTGATGTCGGTTTTTTTTTGTTGTTGCTAAAGCTAACCCATTTGTTTTGAGGATCCTTTTTAATGTGTGTCGATCACCCCTACCGCCTTGGGGAATGTTTACCCCTCTCCCTGCGGCTGTAAGATGATTCAGTGTCACGTTTGGCGTGGTGATAAGAATCTGATGGCCGTCTTCTCTTGGACAGGGAGTCAGACCCCCGCTGTCTATTCGTATCTCTATCACGATGTTTCTCTGGGGGAGTGTCACTGTGTCTATGACTTCCCCTGTCGTACGTTGAGGAGTCGTGATGTTTAGTCCTTCGGCCGGCTGTCTCGATAACTCTGTGTTTTTTGGAATCTCTCGATATTTCATTTTTCCACGTTTCATCTTCGTCTGTAGGTCTCGGGCGGTGTTTTCGTCTGCAAACCAAACATTCGAATAGACCAAGTCTTAATGGAAAGACAACATCATAGTAGGCCTACACCATATCAAGGTTGTTCTCTTTCCAAGCATCAAATCTCGAAAGCAAACGGGGTTACATGGGTCATCTACAGTTGAGAAATTATTCGCACATGGTGTTTCCGCAAACCTCTCATTAATTAGTATCTCCACCATGCAAAGCCTCAAATCTTACTTGTCATCTACAGTGTTTGGTACTCAGGAGGAAAGTATATAGGAATAGGTAACTTGACACTTTTACATCAATTCATGTCTCTATGAGGTTTCTTTTACGTCTTCATCAGAATACACGGTGGATTACAGTTACACATGTACAAGTAAAGGAAAGATATGATTATGAAATACAAAAATATTAGGGTAAGACATGAAGACCTAATTAAATCGTCTCATTCACAACAACTTTTTACAAGAAAAGATGAAATCACCTTTTCGACTAATCGAGTCAGAAATTAGGCTCTAAATAGAACCGGAAATGTTCGTCATAACCATGCACAATTATTACGGATTAGGAAGATTATAACGTTACCAAGGTGCTCTGTAAATTTCGTTTGTGTGTATATTAACACCTTCTTCAAAAATCCATTGATGACAAAAATAGTTTTGATACAAGATGTTTTTAGTCACCTGTGTTTGGTCATCTCTTCTTCGGATTCATCTGAACTGGATGAGTCGGATGAACTAGACTCGGAGCTCGAGTCGGAACTGGAGTGCCGGTGACTTCGCTTGTGAGATCTAGATTTCTTCTTTCCTTTCTTTGCTTTCTCCTTTTTGCGTTTCTTTTTACTCTTGACATCATGCGACCTAAAAAGCCAATATTTACAATATATTAATTGGTGAATTTGTATTGGATATTAAATATAAGTAAAGTCGACGATTCGGTGGTTATTTTGGACTTGATTAACTATGTATATTTCTGGTATTGTTAAATAAGTTGTTTTACATTTGGTATGGAGCTACATACAAAACAACACACCCTACATTTTCCCCCTGACATGACGGAGACTTAAAGAACCGACTGACAGGAAGCAACACTTCTTCCATTTGAATTTTTTTTTATTGATATACAGGGTGTCTCACACAAAAACTGAACCCTCAAAGCATCCTCTTTTTTTAACAGCTTTGAAAAAATACATCGCAAATATCTAATTTAGAGAGTATAATACATTAGCTTTTCAACAATGCAAACATACATTGTATTTTCAATCAGGTACATATTTGTTGAGGTATGACCAATTGAAAACAAGTGCCGCTTTAACATTTTGTCCACGGCGACTGGTATTTCCACTGTCGCCATAAAAAAAGGACCGAAACTTGCATTTGTGAAAAAAGGCTACCAAGAAAAAAAGGACTACCGTTACTTAAGGAAAAATTACCCCAAATCCATTACGTTACTTAAATGAAAAACCGGCCCTTATTTTGAATCGGCCATAACTTAATAAATCTTTTCCGGATTGGAAAGATTTTTTCGTTGTCGAAAAGCTAATGGACTATACTCTCCAAATATGTATAGATATTCGCGATGAATTGTCTTTAAAGATGTGAAAAAGAGACTCTTTGAAAATTCGTTTTTTTTGCGAGACTCCCCTGTATAAGAACTCCTTTGATGCGGAATTGATTTCCATTAGGCCTACATAGCATAGCTATTCTCTCGCTATCGTGCTTATTTCCTCCTCCCGTCTGCTGTTTTGTTCTCTTCTTTTTGCTCTTAGCTAGGCAGGCACACTTCTTTAACACTCTTAATGTTCTTGTCTTTGTGTCTTTGTTTCTTGTTTTCTCCATTCAAGTTTTTTTTGTTCTGGCAATATAAGCCTTCGCCTTCTGCACATGCCACCATATTGCTGATTTGATTAACGAGTCTTAGATTTGTGGATTGTTTACATTACTTGTTGGTTAATTTAGCATTTTTTTTACGCTCTGTTCCTCCTTTATTTCATACTCTTTATATATTATCTTCTGTTATGCTCCTTAATCATTTTCTCATTAATGTTATTTATTCAAAGACTCAAGGTTCGTTTCGTTAAGTTTTCAGCAATATTGACATATATGTATGTATGAATGAATGAATGAATGAATGAATGTATACATGTACATAATGTGTATGTACATTGTACATACATTATTTCAACTGATCAATGTTGCCATGAGGTACAAATGTAGGCCTACTTGCAACATAGGCGACTATTCATGTATTAAACTCTTACTGAAATTTCCCTTCTTTAAATACAATTATAATGTACTTCTATTTGAATAAAATTAGTTAAGAATTTACTAGCACTTTTCCAAACTACCCATTTACGAAATGTTTGAACCTGGCTCTGTAGCGCTAATGCTTGGGAACAATACGCGCAAGAAGTACTACACTGTATGTGAACATGTAGGAAACTCTGCAGACTGTAGAGTTGTGAACTGCGCTTGGAACAATGATGACACCATATAAAAACACAAAGCTGTTAACAGCTCCTAATCAATTTCCTGGTTCATTTCTGATAAAAAATAGTTGCTACATTGACTAAATTGTAAGTACTATAGTTGATTTCGTTCAGTTGCAAGAATGCACCATTGCAGCTGTACTAAATTTTATTCTGTGACATAAAAAAAGATAATGGAAAATTCAAAGAAGGAAAGCAAACAAGTCTATAGATGTTTGGTGAAGAAAAATGGCAATATGAAAAAAAGAACATTAATGCGATGTGTCATGAACTTGCCGAGCTGAGAAAAGTGGTTAAACATTCAGATGACTCATAGAGTACATGCACATTTGTACCTTTTGCTTCGTTTCTTCCGTTTGTCTTCCCTTCTTTTCCCTGATGGTGCTGATACTGCTGGATTGAGATCCTGCTATGAAAAAAATGACACTTTCATGCATTAGCTAATTCTCACGTTACTTATTTTAAATGGCTTAGAATCTGCCATCTGCATATTTGTTATTTGAAAGCAAACCTTCTCTCTATACGTAGGCCAACGATCAACAAGTCCATGCAAGTTCAGTCAATTATGTAATGTTATATTCCTTCAAAATACAATGTACATTGATGAACAATTCTACAAAAGAACGTAAACTTGGTAAATGGTAAATGTACAAATACAATTGAGACCATGAAAAAATTATTATTGATTCCTAGAATATTATTGAATACTAGAATATTATTGAATCAATAAAGAATGTCAAAATGTGCATTTACACTTCATAATAAAAGTACTTGTTCACCTTCTGTGTTTTATAAGTTTTATATCTAAACTACTGGTATGCACAAGTACATGCAGTTACTGTTCTTACCTGTGTTGATGATACTGCATTAGAAGGACTTTTGACAACCTTCTGACCACTGGGGGACAAAAATCAATGGGTATGACTTTAAACAAGAATTCAAAAAGAGTATTAACGTTGAAGTCAAGTTATCATTAAACCATCCTAAATCCTCCAAAATCCGCTCCACACAAGTAGAGGATTTCAAAGGACTGAGGCTGTATGGCAAAAATGGATCGGTTGATTTTGGAGGATGCATTGTGTCAAGGTCTAGGCTAAACCTTGTGTTGTTTATGCTTAGCCATGCACAAATGTAGGCGTAAATAATACTTGAAATCATCTGCACTGCTTCTGGATATTATCAGCACTGCCTCAACATGTCAACAGGACATTGCAGGATTGAGGCAGTGGTCACCCTCCATGAACAAATTCAAGAAACAACAGAGAATTCGGAGGATTGAGGCTGTATCCAATTTATAGATGCAGGCAGTTGGAGGTTTTTGCACGATTGAGGTTACACCCTAGCAAAAGGTCTAGGAGGTTAGGATTACTTATGACATGCAGTGTAATGGTTACCATGAGTGAACACATACATGTACAAGCACATTTGTTTATGGTGTAAAGCGAGGATTTTTTCATTGTTCCTCTCCCTTTTCCTTTTGTTTATACTTACTTTTTTACAACAGTTCTCATTGGTTTTGTACACGTTTTCTAACCGAGGAGTCCTCGACTTGGTTCTTGTCCTCAATTCATCAATGATGTTGCACGTGTGTGCCCTCGATTTACACAATAAACAAATGCAAGTACATCTCCACAGTGAACATGAGTCTTGTTCTTTTGACTTACAGAGCAGCCATCATTGCTTCTTCCTCGGCCTGCTTGATGGCTCTCCGTTCGTCAGCCAAACTGTCTCCCTCTTTCCTGGATTTGTTGAACCACTGCAGATCACGCCCATCTTGCCAACGGCCCACAGGTGCCTTCAAGGAGTGACCTGGATTTGGAGTGTTAACAAAATTAAAAGTTAAAAATACACAAAAGTAACTTAAAACTGATTATTTCAGTTGTAAATGTCACCATTTTTGCTTAAAATCAACACCTTTGAGCATGACTATAGCTATGTCCAAAACTGCCATTTGTTAATTGATTTAAACTTGTTGATGTATATGAACAAATGCTACTGCTAGAACTATGATGCTCCGCGTGAGTATCATGTTGAGCAAGAATGGAAAAATGAAAAGAATGGATATTGAAAAATGAAAGAAAAAAAGAAAACCTCAACTCAATCAAAGATGAGATATCATTGAATACAACCATATCAGTGATATGTAAAAAAAAAATGCCAAAAAAGGGTGTGGCCAGTGTTTGGAATAAACTCCTCAGTAACAGTACATTGGAAAACCAGACGTGTGGGTGTGGCCTAATAACGTACAGCGAATCTGCAGCAATACGGAGGCCACATGATATGGCTAGTCATGTTGCCATGCATTGCCGTTGGTGCTCCCCGCTTGCCTCATTTTCGGCAACGAGTGGCTATCGTTATGGCAGCCGTTGTTTAGCGCCCTCTACGATACTTTTTGATACGCACGCAGGTATATAATTATTTGTTTCCCCACGTTTAAGCGCACAGTGCGGCAGCTCAGTTGATAGAGGGTAGGATTTTGCACCGCGAGGTTGCGGGTTCGCATCTCAGTTTTGCACTCGAATTTTTTTCCTTTTCTAACCTGAGGGCAGTGAGGCTTTGGAGAATTTTTTTTAAAAGGAAATAAAGTCCGAATTTCATAACGTTCAAATTCACTTTTTCCTTCTAATTTTATATTTTCTTCTCATGTTTTCATAAAAGTTGCAGTACTACCGTAACGATAGAAAATGGGAATGCGTTACGGCTGCCGTAACGATAGCCACACTGCGTTTCGGCAAACGTGGCATGCATGGCAAAGAATATTATAATTAATATGTACGAACCCAAGTAATATTCTCTATCTTTATCTGTCTTCACACCGCTCCAACTGAACTGGTCAGCTCCTCCCCTATTTCCTCCGCGTGGAATATAATACATTTTTAAAATCAAACAAAACACGAACAATCATTCACGACCACAAAACGCAAGAAACAAAATAATGAGGACTTAAATATGTTTTACTTCACATAGGCTTCTGGAAGTTTGCCTTGAACTGTTAAATAAACCAGATACAGAAAACGGGTACGATAACTTTAAAATCCTGCTGTCCCATGGATTCTGGAAAATCAAGACAATTCAACTGGTTCCGTCAACCTTATGATATGCCGAGTTGCTCATGCATGATATACGCGCGGGTACCCGTCATATCAACAAAGTGAAAATGGCGGCCGCCGAGTTTGAGAAAGCAAAGGCTCTTGTTGAAACTGACAAATCGACTGCAATTGCAGTTTTTCACAGCATCGGTAAGTTTTTAACAGTTATTAAGTCATTGAGAGTATATTGCTTCAGTTCCCCGCAATTTAAGTCGATCATCTTATTTCAATTGCTTCGGAAACGGTGTGGTTGATTGGGCCGGGTTTAATTTGTTGAGTCACGTTGATTTTGCAATAGGCATTGCACTACAAAGGAATTCGTGTAGTTCACTTTAGTTTAGGACACCTCTTTGACAACCTGGCGTGTGGCCAGAGATACAGCGCAGCAATATCGCGGCCACACTAGTGGGGCTATCTTTTGAGAACGAAGCAACGTTGGTTAAACGTGGGTATAAGGTTTATCGCAAATAGCTTTCTATCAACAGAGGGCGCCCTGTTGCAAAGCATCATGGGATGCAAAACGGAGCATAATCATTTTGCAGTCCCGGATGTTGAACCGCGCATCGCGCAACCAACACAAAAATGATACTCACACACGAAAACTTTCAGCGATCGGTAGTGTAGGGCCCGTTTGGTTTCGATAAAATTAGAGTCAAGAGTGTTTTTACCATGCAAAATGACCTTGTCAACCTAGAGCAGACTTCTCTTAATATAATGACACTTCTGTGTAATTTTTGAACAGTTTCTCGGAGTAGAAATGATGATTTTCCTGCGCGGTTTATAGTGGTGCAGTGCGATTCAGCGCGCCTTGCCATTCACGGTACATCGCGCAGTGATCGCCATCTAAAGTTTATTTTCGTGTTGCGTTTTGTCGTATCATCTTCATTCCCGGGTCTCCCCCAAAAAAATTTCCCTAAAAAATTCAAAACCCTGCCCTTTATCTATGACACAACTGTATGTTTTAATATCGCAAACTTGTTTGGTAGGTCAAATAATTTAAAAGTGGATTTTGTTCCCTTACAGGAACCATGCAGGAACCGGGCCCGTTGATACACGATCGCCAAAATTTCTAAGCTAACATGCCTACCTAGCTAGTTACATGTGTACAGCTGTACATGTATGTAAATAACTGTTGTGTATTTTATAAATTGTTTTTTTTTTATAATATGTCTGAGGTTTTCTTGTATTCGTCCAAGTAAATTTGTGCCAATGTTGGGGCTATCAGTTATTTAAGAAACACGGGTGATATTTGCCAAGTTTTTTAAACTTTATCCAACTCTTTTACGAGAATCTGCTCAAAATATTGCCAGCTTTTTAATTAAGAAACACAGCTCATATTTGCCAATTACTTTCACCTATTTATTCCAACTGTTGTTTTGAGACTCGGCTTTTTTTATTTGAGGGACATAGGCCATATTCCTTGATATTTTGACAACTGTTCATACAACTCTTGTTATGACACTCGAGTAGGCTTGCATTTGCCAATTTTATTTTCAATTTTCCAGGTTTTTTTTACTATTACACTTGTAATTCAACTCTCGTCAAGAGACGCAGGTCATAATTGCATTTTTAAACAATGTTCATGTACTTTTATAAAACATGACTTGATCATTTCAATTTGCATTTTCTGCATCCTTATTGTGTGCAACTTTGTTCCAAATTTTATTTACATTATTTTAATAAAACATGTCTCTTATTTTTATGAACCTGCAAAACCTTTTACAATTGATATAATTTCTATTATCATTATCATAAGTGAAGACCGTTCATGTACATGAAGGTTAATGCCATTTATAATTTGGTTTATTT